CTTGAGTAAAGAAGTTTAGTCAGTACTTCTACTTTCACCAGAGTATTTTTAAACACGAGTATCTGTACTTCTACTTGAGTAAAGGATGTGTGGACTTCTACCATCTCTGGAACCAAGATAAGATTAGACTCCTTTATTGTTATTGCACAGAGTACAGCGAAATTCCAAGCATTCCCGATGGTGCAATCACACGTAACAGACCGTATAAGTATCAAGATGGGTACAAGTTAAAGTTTGAAATGTATCTATCAGCAAGGACCGATACAGGAAAACATTCCTGCCGACTGCAATAACTCTGTATAACAAATCTCCTCTGGCTGGAAGAGAACTCTCTGCTCCAACTGGACTTTTACATTTATATTCAATCTAATATTTAATAATCCATTCCTTGCACAATTAATGTATTTATAATATCCTGCCTTATATTTTGTCATTGTAAATTAGTATTTCCACATGTATATTTTTTACTTTTTTAATGCTATTTTATTTCTATTTGAGATGTTTACATTTTGAATTGTTTGTTTCTAGTCTTTTAATTTCTCTCATGCACAATGCCTTGTCTTTTTATGCTGCTGCAACGCAAACATTTCCCAAATAGGGATCGATCGAAGTACTTTTGATCTTATCTATTTGGCCATAAGACGGTTAAACACCTGAACTTTTCAAAAGAACATCCATCTGTTTGCAACTTACAAATTATTTATCTAATATATTATATCCCAATTACTGCACTATTTATATTCAATTGTATTTACTTGCAGTTTATCTGTTTTATTGTGTTGCTCTGTTGATTTTTTAAATTTAAATCTGCGATAACTTCTCTGTGTTTTTAGGCCACGAAAGTCATCACAGGCTGACGGGGTCTTACTGAGGTCCAGCATGGAGGATGGGTATGAGTTGGCTCCATGATACGCCAGCAGGCTGATCTCTCGCTGTCTCTGCTGCTGCTGGACTCTCTGTTTGGCTCTTCGGTGTCGATACGCACAGCAGCAGCTGAACAGGATGAGGACCGTCCACAGCAGCCAGAACCCTGAACACAAACATACTAACGTACTGAGTATAAGGAATACAAGTACTGTGAAAGTAAGTGAACATTTATGAATATCGCTATCAAACACTGATACAAGAATAAGGAATAATAATAATATCATAATAATAGTAATAACTATCTCTAAATATAGAAACGAGTTATTCTTTCATATTTATTTTTTGTATTATTGTTTCACATCCTTTACTTTATCTGATGTGTATTTATTGTGTTTCATTTCAATCGGTGAGGTTTCCCTGAATGTTAGATGTTGAGGGAGGGGAGTGTTTCCAATGTGTTAATGTATGTATGTGTGACTGTATGTTCTTTCTATGTTAAAAAACCCAATAAATATAATGTTAACAAATAAAACTTACTCAGGAAAAACTCAACATTTTGTTAAATATTGTTTTATATTTAAAAGCAAAAGCAGCAAAACTTTCAAAACATTTAAGAAGCTGGAACTGTTAAATATTTTTGAACAAACAGTTATTATTAGCAAAAATGTTTATATTATTATCTGTTAACCCACTCATGGTTTCAGTTACTTAAATATAATGCTGGATGGTTCAATCAATACCAAATAAGGTAAAGTACCTCAAATGTTTACTTAAGTACAGTACTTGAATACATTTACTTTCCATCACTGCAAATGAAACATTAGCCACCTTTAGCTTAGCGGTGGTGACGTGAAGTCATGTGACCGTGCTGTTGTTCCTTTATAGCCCAACATTAGCCACCTTTAGCTTAGCGGTGGTGACGTGAAGTCATGTGACCGTGCTGTAGTTCCTTTATAGCCCAACATTAGCCACCTTTAGCTTAGCGGTGGTGACGTGAAGTCATGTGACCGTGCTGTAGTTCCTTTATAGCCCAACATTAGCCACCTTTAGCTTAGCGGTGGTGACGTGAAGTCATGTGACCGTGCTGTAGTTCCTTTATAGCCCAACATTAGCTTTTTACTTTAAAGTAGTTTCTTTACTTTACTTGAAACACAGTAAAACCCACTTACACCAGAGTTCGTAGTAGTAGGTGCAGCATCCGGTCTCCCCGCAGCAGTGTCCCGTCTCACACAGGTAGCCTCCGTTAGCGTTAGCTCCGGGGCAGTACCGCGGTCTCCCCAGCAGGGGCAGGCTGCCACTAGAGTGGTACTCCATCGCACCCCCGCTCTGCCCGGAGCTAGCCCCGCGCCACCGCTGCACGCTCACCACTAGCCGCTAACAAGCCGTTAGCTTGCCAAACACTTCACTGTGGTCCAAGTCCCAACTACATTTTCCTTTCAAAATCTGAATTTGTTTTCTGAAGAGTGTTTGGTTTGGAACTGCTGCACTAGCTGTTATCTGATAACTGCAAGTAGCTTAATAATTAAGATAATCTACATTTTTAAGAGCCTTCTTTTAGAGATTTTCCCAGTGAAGGAGCTGCTACCCTGCCAGTTTTGTCAGATTTCAGACAACAAACATTAAGGGATGTAGAACCCCCTGCAAGCTAACAAGCTAAGCTAGTCTTTCCAGGCTCATTAGCATCAAAATGCTTCAATTTAAAGACTTTAAAGCTGCTGTAATCCACTTTAGAGGTCACCTCTCTGACTAAAACCCCTCTGATGTTTCACAGGTAGAAGTGCTGACTACTGCAACTAAATACTACAAGAACTGCAGCTGTAGTTTCTGAGCGAGACGGGATGACGGTTAACGAGGTCCTGCACCGGAGAGAGAGAGAAAAGACAATAGTTTATTGACAGACAACAAGACAGCACGTCACACACACACTACTACAGGCCTGTTTGATATTCACCCCCTGCAGAACTCAAACCACAACCCGACACAAAGCTGCCTCTCTGTCCACAACACACACGCACACGCTTGTTTTTGTGTACTTCTAAGAACTGTTAACGACAGGGTGCAATCCAAGGACCCTGACCTTAAAGAGGGTCAAAAACAAATTCAAGTCCGAGATAAAAAAACAACACTTCCCTGTCCTTGTGCCCCCCTGAAGATCCTGTCAGAAACAGAGATCCTTTTTCTGGAATTCTTTAATTTATATTTATTAATTTGAATTTGAATTGCACACAGCTGTTTGTCAGGAAAAAGGTTTGAAATATTTTTTGAAACGTAAAGAAATATTCAAAGATTGGCATCATCTGCATCCACATAGAGAGAATTACTCAACAAATAAATAACTCAAATACCTTTGTTATGTTGGCTTTTTGCCAAATTCACCATTAAATCAGTGCAGTTCTTTAAATACAAATAATTACCCGTTTAAAAAACATGTTATTTTTAAAGCCAGTATTGACTAGTAAGGGAAACCCTGAACATTAAACCAACAAGAGGAACGACCCTCACTTTGCAGAGATGTCCTTAATTCCAAGGCTTTACTCACACACACACACACACACACACACACACACACACACACACACACACACACACACACACACACACACACACACACACACACACACACACACACACACACACACACACACACACACACACACACACACTTAACAAACACACACACTGCAGGAAACGTAGGTGGTCTGTAAAGAGGTCCAGCACACACACTGGGGAAACACTATTAAAGGACAGTGTGAGGGTCAGTAAACATAGCGTGTTTTAGTTTTTGCTAAATAATGTATATTCTGATTTCTACGTTTCCCCATATTATCCTATAACACCTGCAATAAAGATAATATTTACATATAAACTCCAAATCACAATATATAAATTCACA